GGAGCTTGCAATGGAAGATGAGATAAAGTCCCTTATCTCCAACAAAACATGGGAACTAGCCAAATTGCCGATGGGGAAGAAAGCTCTTCACAACAAATGGATGTACAGGGTGAAAGAGGAACATGATGGTTCCAAGAGATACAAGGCGAGATTGGTGGTCAAAGGCTTTCAGCAAAAGCAAGGCATTGATTACACATATATTTTTTTCCCGGTTGTGAAACTGAGTACCATTCGCTCAGTTCTTAGAACTGTTACAGCAGAGGGGTTGCACCTTGAGCAGTTAGATGTCAAAACTACTTTTCTCCATGGTGACCTTAAGGAACAGATTTACATGTAACAACCAGAGGGTTTCTCAGTCAAAGGGAAAAAGAAACTAGTGTGCAAGTTGAAGAAAAGCTTATATGGTTTGAAGCAAGCCCCGAGGCAGTGGTACAAGAAGTTTGATGGTTTTATGAAGTGACATGGCTATAACAAGTGCAATGCTGACCATTGCTACTACTTCAAGAGGTTTAAGTCAAGTTTCATTATCTTTCTACTTTATGTTGATGACATGTTAGTGGCAAGTTCTGATTTTGAAGAAATCAGCAAATTGAAGAAGCAGTTGTCTAGTGAATTCGAGATGAAGGATCTTAGTGCAGTGAAGCAGATTCTTGGGATAAGGATTAGCAGAGACAAACAGAAAGGTACTTTGCAGTTGTCTCAAGCTGAGTGCGTTGAACAGGTTCTGAAGAGGTTCAACATGAATAATGATAAGGCTGTGAGTACTCCCTTAGCTAATCACTTCCGATTATCTCAAGATCAGTGTCCGAAGACAGAAGATGAGAAAAACTTCATTGCTAAAATTCCATATGCCTAAGCCATTGGAAGTTTGATGTATGCCATGGTGTGCACAAGACCAGACATTACATATGCAGTGGGAGTAGTAAGCAGGTTCATGAAGGATTCGGACAAGCTACACTGGGAAGTAGTAAAGTGGATATTGAGATATCTACCAGGTACCACAGACAGATGTTTATGTTTCAGAAGGGGTGAAGTGAAGTTACATGGTTATGCAGATTCAGACTTTGCTGGTGAGGTGGACCACAGAAGAAGTACTACCAGGTATGTGTTCATGGTGGGTATAACTGCAGTTAGTTAGGTTTCGCAAATACAGAGGATTGTAGCGTTATTTACTACTGAGGCAGAGTATGTGGCGATGACATAGGCCAGCAAGGAGATAATTTGGTTACAAGGTTTGTTAATAGAGTTGGGATTCGAACAGGTGAAGAATGTTTTGCACAGTGATAGTCAGAGTGCGATACATCTGGCAAAGAATTCAGTATTTCATTCAAGGACCAAGTATATAGGACTTCGGTATCACTTTATCAGATCTTTGTTAGAAGATGGGGTGTTGACACTTGAGAAAATACTTGGCACCAAGAATCCGGCTGACATGTTGACCAAGACAGTGACCATGGAGAAACTGAAGCTTTGTGCAACTTTAGTTGGTCTTCTAGCTTAAAGACAGAAAGAAGCGCACCGACATGTATGGGACATGCATGAGAAGAAGATTGAATGGATTTACAAGTGGGAGATTGTTGTGGTTTTGTGGAGTTTGATTAGGTAGAAGATTTTTAGGAAGATTTAATTATATGGAAACTTCAAGGGTACTGAATTTTAGGGAAAATTCAGTTTCCTAATCTGATTTGACTTCCTTATTGGTTTAAGGAAAATTCAATTTCCTAATCTGATTTAATTTTCTTATTGGTTTAGGATTCTACAAAAGGCAAGTTCTTGTAGCATAAGTTTGGGACTCTATAAATATGAGCGAATATTAGAGATAAATGTAATGTTTGTGCCTTTATATATATATGTCTGTGTGTGCGGTGTGTATTAAGAAAAAAAAAAAAAAAAAAAAAAAAAAAAAAAAAAAAAAAAAAAGAGAAAAGAAATATTAAAAAAAAAAAGTGGGACCCACAAATGTTAAGACCATGTTTTTTTCACTGTAATCTCATCTTCTCTCTCTCGCGTCCATCTCTCTGTTTGTCTCTCGGCTCCTTCTCTTTTTTTCTTTTTTCTTTTTTTCACTTCAAGCTTTAACCCTTGATTACTCTCTCAATCCTTGCCGGATTTAGGTGCCGTTTGAGGCAAAACGACGAGCACGATGAGCCCTACGTGCCAGTATCAGAAATTCCAGCTTTTGGTCCTCTTTGGGAGCTCGAATTTGAGGACCCATTTTCTAGGGTTTTGGTGCAATCTTGAGGTAGGGACATCTTAAGCCATGGAATCTTGTTCCATATTGAATCATGCTCTTCTAATTGTGTTACAGCATGTTTAATTGCTTTGATTCTAGTTTAAACTGAGATATTTGAGAATATGCCATGTTATGTGAATATGTGTTACTTGATTGAATGGATAGCATGTTTATATAGTGAGTTTCTATCATGATTATTATTCTACAAGCATGCTATAATGTTATATGAAATGGTACTTATTGTAGAGTGTTAAATTCTCATTTATCATTGTATTGACATCATGTAAGATACATACATTTTATTGGGTTGCATAGGAAGGGATGTTGGTGTTTGAAAAGAAAAATGGGAATTTTGGGTGATGTGTTTGGAAAAAAATTGGTTTTGATAAACCCGGTCGCTACGGGGTTACCAATGGGTCGAAGGTTAATATAGCCTAGAGGGGACTAGGGAGTCGCCCTAGCGTGGTTGAGCTAGCTGGGCCCCATAATGACGCCGCGGGGTTACCAAGGGTCAGGGACACTAACCAATCCTCCTCTCGTGTTGCGGCGGGTTACCAAAGGGCAGGCTGTATTAACGTTTGAAAGTGATGATTCTGAGAATGAGAATGGGGAGTGTCATTGACATGCATTGCATTTCATTTCATTGCATTGCATTGTTTATACTTGGAATTGACTTGTATGTTGTATTTGATCCCCTATGTTGTATGATCCCTATCTCCCATTGGCCTATGCTTTGATTGGATTCACTAGGACACAAGAATTGTGTCTTAAGTGTCTCTGCTGAGCTATATGCTCACCCCTATATCTATATATATTTTTTCAGGTCTTGGAAAAGAACCGGTGGACGACAATCCACCCCAATTTTGAAAGTTGCTAGAGGAGCATTTTCCTTGTTATCTTGTAATAGACTACTCCTTTGTTCATCCCTCATTTTTGTAAAATTCCAAAGGTGTAATGATGTAAATTTCTTTTGAAGAACCATGGTCATGTAATACACTTATGATACTTGATGACATATGGGATGCAAACTTGATGATATGTAACTTGTTGATGAATGGAAGGATAATCCTAGCTTGAAGCATTGTCTAGATTAGTAGGTTGTATCATTATCTTTTGTTACCGTGAATTCGGAAATTAGTTGCATGAAAGGTTAAATATGCATTTAAACAGGTTGCGGTAGGTCCATTTTTAGGGGAGGTTATGCCGAATTTTTTTTTAAAAAAAAAATTCTTAGCATTAGTTTTGGGATCGTTACAAATTTGGTATCAGAGCCAAGGTTCGAAAACCTTTAGGACGACGGGTAGAGGCCTACATAGAGTCGTATGGGATGTTGTTTGTATTGTTTACTTGACTACTTGCTATGTGGTATCTTATTTCAATGAGCATGCTTAACTGCCTATGTGCTTACTTGCTTACTTGTTTATGTTAAAATGTTTCTTGCATAGTCTTGCATGCTAAGTGTTGTACGGTATTAATTCTTGTTAAGTCGTCCACAGTCTTAGTGTCATGTTTCTAAATCGTTTTCTCGTTTTATAGCACGATGTCACAGCGTGAGGAACCTAGAGAAGTTGGCCCTAGGCCAACAAGGGGTGATGTTGGTGAGAGCTCCAGCTCCAATCCGGAGGAGCTAAATGATGAGAACATGCTTCTTAGGAACTTGATTCCCCCGAGAGCTGTCCCCACAAGGAGGGATAATGTTGAAGCACCCGTAGAAGTGGGTGAAGGTTCTGTGGCACTGAAGTTTAATCGTTTGTTGCAGAATGTCGTGAGGGCAACGATTGCTGCTCAGCCGCAGTTGGTACCACAACCTATAGTTCAAGTTGAGGAGACTCCAGCTCAGAAGCGTCTCAAGATCATTAAGGGGTTTTCTCAGCTGATGCCGGTTATGTTTGAGGGCGGTGCGGACCCAATGGTAGCCGACAACTACATAGATCAAGTCGAAACTCAGTTGACCTCAATGGATGTGACAGAGGATCACTTAAAGATCATCCTAGCAACTTACAAGTTTGCTATGGATGCCAAGGTTTGGTGGAAGTCGATCACTAACTAGTACAAGATTGAAGATATGAGTTGGGACAGGTTCAAGAAACTGTTTTATGAGAAGTACTTTCCGCTTTTCAAAAGATGGGAGTTACAAGACCAGTTTCATAATCTTATTCAAGGGAACATGTCAGTGGCGGAGTATGAGAACAAGTTCACCTCACTCTCCCGTTTTGCTCCAGAAGTGGTGAGAGATGAAGCTAACAAGACTCGGAAGTTTGTCTCGGGTCTTAATGATCGAATGAGGCCGTTGATCACGGCACAGTTTATTAAAGTTTACTCTAAAGCAGTGGAAAGGGCTTTGATGCTGGAGGCTGACAATAGAGAGAAGGATGCAAAAAGAGAGCAATTGAAGCAAAAGAGGGGTGCAGGGCCATCCTCAGAGGGATCTTCTTGGAAAAGGAACAGGGGCAATCCATCTCAGTTTCAGGGGCAACAGTCTACAAGATCTGCTCCTACCACTCCTATGCCAGCTGGACCTGACAGGAGTGCAGTTGTTTGTTATCAGTGTCAGCAGCCCGGACATTACAAGTCCAGTTGTCCGATGAGATCGTCTTCAGTTTCGTCAGCTTCGAAGGCTTGTTATGGGTGTGGCCAGCAGGGTCACTTGATTCGTGATTGTCCAAGTTAGAGAGCAGGCACCATTAGTGGCAGAGGGTCACAGCAGAGGCCGTCACAATCGGCTACAGTTCAGTCAGGTTTCAGACTACCACCACCACAGCCTACTATGTCTTCACAGGGTTCACGATCAGTTAGAAGGGATACTCCTACTATGTCAATGCAGCAGTCAGGTGTTCAGGTTAGCAGTCCTCAGGCACAGGTACCACAGGGACGTGTTTTTGCACTAGCACAGACCTATGCATCTTCTGGACCGTCAGTTCTTCGAGGTATATTTCCAGTGTTTGGTTGTTGGGCTCGTGTTTTGTTTGACTCTGGTGCATCTCATTCTTTCATTTCATCATCATTTACACTTACATCGGGGTTAGAGGTTAGTTTCATGGATCGGGCATTATGTGTTGATACTCCAGTTGGGGTTTCAGTGTCATTGAGCCGAGTTGTGCGGGATTGCTCCATTGTGATAGCCGGGCGGACCTTTGTGTTTGACCTTATCCTCCTGGAGATGACTAGCTTTGATGTCATTCTCGGGATGGATTGGTTGGCTTCATTTCATGCCACGATCGACTGTTACAGAGGAAGGGTTACAGTTTGCACTCCCGAGGGAGACTGTTTCTTTTTCGTGGGAGATCGGAGTGATTCCCATATTTCATCATTTTATGGAGTTCGTGGACGAAGTCATAGTGATTATTTCTTAGCTAGTCTTCTAGCCGAAGAAGATGATGTCGTGGGAGAAGTTTATCCGGCGATTGTTTGTGACTTCTTGGATGTTTTTCCAAAAGATTTGACAGAGTTGCCTCCACACCGAGAAGTGGAGTTCACTATTGATTTGATGCATGGTACTGCGTCAATTTCTATGGCACCGTATCATATGGCACCAGTTGAATTGGAAGAATTGAAGAGGCAGCTTGATGATTTAAGGATGAAAGGTTTCATCCGACCGAGTGTGTCACCGTGGGGCGCACCGGTCTTGTTTGCTAAGAAGAAAGATGGTTCATTGAGGTTGTGCATTGATTATCGGAAGTTGAATCATGACACCATCAAGAACAAGTATCCTTTGCCAAGGATAGATGATTTATTTGATCAGTTGAGGGGAGCCAGTTATTTCTCGAAGATTGACTTGAGGTCTGGCTATTATCAGTTGCGGGTTAGGGACGAGGATATCTCGAAGACAGCATTCCGTACACAGTATGGACACTATGAGTTCCTTGTTATGCCTTTTGGCTTGACCAATGCGCCAGCGGCATTCATGGACTTGATGAACCGCGTCTTTCACGATTACTTGGACCAATTTGTGGTAGTTTTCGTGGATGACATTCTTGTGTACTCACGGACTCGGGAAGATCACGAGGTCCATTTGAGTATTGTTTTACAGATTTTGCGGGAGCACCGATTGTATGCCAAATACCAGAAATGTGAGTTTTGGCTACAGGAGGTGAAGTTTTTGGGGCATGTTGTTTCAGAAGGTGGAGTATCAGTTGATCCATCAAAGGTTGAAGCAGTTTTGACTTGGGAGCGACCCAAGAATGTGTTTGAGATCCGCAGTTTCCTTGGTTTAGCGGGTTACTATCAGAGATTTATGAAGGATTTCTCCCGTTTGGCAGCTCCTATGACCCGTTTGACCCAGAAAGGGGTCAAGTTTGTCTGGAATGAAGCCTGTGATTCATCTTTTCAGGAGTTGAAGACAAGATTGACTACAGCTCCAGTGTTGGTGATACCTGAGCGTGGCTTGGGTTATGTGATCTATTGTGATGCTTCACGTGACGGGTTGGGATGTGTGTTGATGCAGGATGGTAGAGTAGTGGCTTATGGGTCTTGACAGTTGAAGACTCATGAGCTTACCTACCCTACTCATGATCTGGAGTTAGCGGCAGTTGTGTTTGCCTTGAAGTGTTGGAGACACTATTTGTATGGTGAGAGATTCGAGGTATTTTCAGATCACAAAAGTCTCAAGTACCTTTTCTCCCAAAAGGACTTGAACAACAGACAGAGGCGATGGGTCGAATTCTTAGAGGACTACAATTTTGACTTGCAGTATCATCCGGGCAAGGCGAATGTGGTAGCGGATGCCTTAAGCCGAAAATCTTGTGGAACTTTGGCCAGTTTAGCTATTCGGAAGTGGAAGATGCTTGAAGATCTGGCAGAGATGGGATTACAGTGTTGTGATGATGATGCTTGCAGTGAGTCGGCATTCTTATTTAGTCTTGTGGCTCAGCCTACTCTTGTTGTACGAGTGATTGAGTCACAGAGACAGGACCCGGACTTAGATGCCATCCACGCTTTGATCTCTAGTGGTGAGACAGTGAAAGATTGGGCCTTGCATGCAGATGGGGGTCTACGGTTCAGGGGTTTGTTAATGGTTCCTACGGTTTGTCGTGAGGACGTCTTACGGGAGTTTCATACTTCCCATTTTGCAGTTCATCCAGGTGGTACCAAGATGTATCATAATTTAAGACGTTAGTATTGGTAGAACGGGATGAAGAAAGATGTTGCACAGTTTGTGGCTAGATGCCTTACCTGTCAGCAGGTGAAGGCCGAGCATCAGAGGCCAGCTGGTTTGTTGCAACCATTACCTGTAGCACAATGGAAATAGGAGCATATTGCTATGGATTTTGTGACAAGTTTTCCAAGGTCACGGAGGGGCAATGAGGCCGTATGGGTCATCATTGACAGATTGACTAAGACGGCTCACTTTTTGCCTATTAAGGCAACAGATGATGCAGAGAAGCTTGGTGTTCTTTATGTGAAGGAGATTGTAAGGTTGCATGGAGTTCCTGTAACCATTGTGTCAGATAGGGATGCTAAGTTCACTTCGAAGTTCTGGGAAGGACTTCAAGTAGCGTTTGGTTCAGCGTTGCATCTTAGTACGGCATTCTATCCACAAACGGACGGTCAGTCGGAGCGTACTATCCAGATTTTGGAGGATATGCTTCGGGCATGTGTGCTTGACTTGGGTGGTAGTTAGGAGGATCACCTTCCACTTATTGAGTTTGCCTACAACAACAGTTATCAAGCGAGTATCCAGATGGCTCTATTTGAGGCGTTGTATGGTAGACCTTGTAGGTCTCCTGTTTGTTGGACTGAGGTAGGTGAGACAGCCGCCTTAGGACCCGACATTGTACTCGAGACTACTAAGAAGATTAAGTTGATAAGACAGAGGTTACTTACAGCTCAGAGATGACAGAAGAGCTATGCGGATAAGCGGAGACGACCGTTATCCTTTGAGGTGGGAGACCACGTTTTTCTACGGGTTTCTCCACGGAAGGGATTGATGAGATTCGGAAAAAGTGGCAAGTTGTCGCCACAATTTATTAGACCGTTTAAGATTTTGGACCGAGTAGGAGAGGTTGCCTACAGGCTTGCTTTACCACCACAGTTGGATAGGGTCCACAATGTTTTCCATGTATCGATGTTACGGAAGTACGAACCGGATCCATCTCACATTTTGAGTTGGGTAGATGTGGATATTGATGAGGATGTTTCCTACGAAGAAGGACCAGTTCAGATTCTTGACACACAACAGAAGGTGTTGAGGAACAAGACGATACCAATGGTGAAAGTCCTTTGGAGACACCACGGAGTCGAGGAAGCTACTTGGGAGCTCGAACAGGAGGTTCGGTCCAAGTACCCAGCGTTGTTTTCTTCCTCAGGTATGTCTTGATTTCGAGGACGAAATCCTTATAAGTTGGGGAGAGTGTAATGTTTGTGCCTTTATATATATATGTCTGTGTGTGCGGTGTGTATTAAAAAAAAAAAAAAGAGAAAAGAAATATAAAAAAAAGTGGGACCCACAAATGTTAAGACCACGTTTTTTTCACTATAATCTCATTTTCTCTCTCTCGCATCCATTTCTCTATTTGTCTCTCGGCTCCTTCTCTTTTTTTCTTTTTTCTTTTTTTCACTTCAAGCTTTAACCCTTGATTACTCTCTCAATCCTTGCTGGATATAGGTGCCGTTTGAGGCAAAACGACGAGCACGACGAGCCCTACGTGCCAGTATCAGAAATTCCAGCTTTTGGTCCTCTTTGGGAGCTCGAATTTGAGGACCCATTTTCTAGGGTTTTGGTGCAATCTTGAGGTAAGGACATCTTAAGCCATGGAATCTTGTTCCATATTGAATCATGCTCTTCTAATTGTGTTACAGCATGTTTGATTGCTTTGATTCTTGTTTAAACTGAGATATTTGAGAATATGCCATGTTATGTGAATATGTGTTACTTGATTGAATGGATAGCATGTTTATATAGTGAGTTTCTATCATGATTATTATTCTACAAGCATGCTATAATGTTATATGAAATGGTTCTTGTTGTAGAGTGTTAAATTCCCATTTATCATTGTATTGACATCATGTAAGATACATACATTTTATTGGGTTGCATAGGAAGGGATGTTGGTGTTTGAAAAGAAAAATGGGAATTTTGGGTGATGTGTTTGGAAAAAAATTGGTTTTGATAAACCCGGTCGCTGCGGGGTTACCAACGGGCCGGAAGTTAATATAGCCTAGAGGGGACTAGGGAGTCGCCCTAGCGTAGTTGAGCTAGCTGGGCCCCATAATGATGCCGCGGGGTTACCAAGGGTCAGGGACACTAGCCAATCCTCCTCTCGTGTCGCAGCGGGGTTACCAAAGGGCGGGCTGTATTAACGTTTGAAAGTGATGTTTTTGAGAATGAGAATGGGGAGTGTCATTGACATGCATTGCATTTCATTTCATTGCATTGCATTGTTTATACTTGGAATTGACTTGTATGTTGTATTTGATCCCCTATGTTGTATGATCCCTATCTCCCATTGGCCTATGCTTTGATTAGATTCACTAGGACACAAGAATTGTGTCTTAAGTGTCTCTGCTGAGCTATATGCTCACCCCTATATCTATATATTTTTTTTCAGGTCTTGAAAAAGAACCGGTGGACGACAATTCACCCCAACTTTGAAAGTTGCTAGAGGAGCATTTTCCTTGTTATCTTGTAATAGACTACTCCTTTGTTCATCCCTCATTTTTGTAAAATTCCAAAGGTGTAATGATGTAAATTTCTTTTGAAGAACCATGATCATGTAATACACTTATGATACTTGATGACATATGGGATGCGAACTTGATGATATGTAATTTGTTGATGAATGGAAGGATAATCCTAGCTTGAAGCATTGTCTAGATTAGTAGGTTGTATCATTATCTTTTGTTGCCGTGAATTCGGAAATTAGTTGCATGACAGGTTAAATATGCATTTAAACAGGTTGCGGTAGGTCCATTTTTAGGGGAGGTTATGCCGAATTTTTTTTAAAAAAAAATATTCTTGGCATCAGTTTTGGGATCGTTACATAAATTTGTGCCAATATAAGAGAGGGCAATTGAGAGAGATTGAGAGAGAATTCTCCTTGTAATTCATCTTTTTCATAGTGAATTTGTTCGGTGTGCTCCATGGATGTAGCCCTAAGATTTGGGTGCACCATGTATATCTTGTGTTCTTGCGTGTGATTTTTTTTTCTTTGTGATTGCTTGATTATTCCTCAAACAATATGCATTTTTATTTTATATTTTCGCCACGACAATTGGAATCAAATTCGGTTGACTGTGTGGTGTAACTCTAACACCTAGAAGCATTGTTGCTCAGCAAAGTTACAAATTGATTGATCAACTGTAAAGTTGTTATCCATTGAGTCCACCATAGATGTTATATTATTATAATATAGTTGAGATTGATCAACAATTGTATAGTTTTTAGGGAAAATTACATATAAATGGAGTCAAAGTTCCATATTTACTTGGAGGCTGAGTCAAAGTTCCATATTTCTCTAAAATTGATTGCTGAGGTGGCACATGGTTTTTTACTGTTTAGAAATTGTGGTGCCTAAAATACCCTTCCGCGAAGGTACTACTTTTTCTTCGAAGGTACTACTTTTTTGAACTGAATGTACTACTTTTTGGCGTCCAGGTACCATGTTTTTTAAACACCCGCGAAGGTACTACTTTTTCTCCGAAGGTACTACTTTTTTGAACTGAAGGTATTACTTTTTTGAACTGAAGGTACTACTTTTTTATTAGGGAAGGGCATTTTAGGCACCACAATTTTCTAAACAGTAAAAAATCATGTGCCACCTCAGCAATCCATTTTAGAGAAATATGAAACTTTGACTCAGTCTTTAAGTAAATATAGAACTTTGACTCCATTTATATGTAATTTTTCCTAGTTTTTATCCATTAATATGAATTTAGTAGGATCGATATTTTCGACTCTAGTATTTTATATATATATATATATTTTATTGATGAGAAACTAAGTGTGTTTTTTTTTTAAAATTTATTTGTTTTATTTATTGTTTTGAATTGTTTGCTTCCATCATCACTTGATTGTAGACAGCACTTGTCCAACAGCTTCACAAAGAAACTATTGATCATCTCTCACATTCTGAAAAAAATGGCAGGATCATTTCTATTGGAAACTGTAATTGATGTCTTGAACAAATTGGGCTCGATGGCTGTTCAAGAGATCGGACAGGCGTGGGGCGTGAAGGATGAACTTGACAAACTCAAAAACCCGATTTCTGTATTCACAGCAGTACTTGCTGATGCAGAGGAGAAGGAAGTAACCAACCATGTAGTAGCAGACTGGCTCGAAAAGCTCAACGATGCGGTTTATGATGCTGAACACTTGCTCGAAGTTATGACTCAGAACAAAAGGCCAAGTTCGTCGGTACGTAATTTATTCTCAATCTCAAACCCGCTTCTTGCTCGTAATAAGATGACTAGTGAGATTAAGGCCATTAGGGGGAGACTAGATGCAATTGCAGAATTTAGTGACAGATTTCAACTGTTTGAACAACCAATAGAAATGGGAGTTGAGAATCGGAGGGTCATTATGGAGACTCACTCTTTTGTTGCTGCAAACAATGTTATTGGGAGGGATGGTGATAAAATGGCAATTATACAACTGTTGTTAGACAGTAACATTGAAGAGAATGTGTCGGTGGTTGCAATTGTTGGGATTGGGAGAGTAGGAAAGACCACACTAGCACAGTTAGTATTCAATGATGAAAGGATCACCAAATATTTTGACCTTAAGATGTGGGTGTGTGTCTCTGACCCCTTTGATGTGAATCTCATTGCACAAAAAATGATAGGTTCTGAAGCAGGAGAAGTCCTTGAGGAGGGGGAAGAATTGCGGAATCACTTGAGGACAAAAATTAATGGAAACAAATATTTACTTGTGTTAGAACATATGTGGAATGAGGATCATGAAAATTGGTTGGAACTTAGTTCTCTGTTGATGGGTGGTTCAAGGGGAAGTAAGATTTTACTAACAAGCCATTTTGAATTAGTTGCAAATGTTGCAGGTACAAATTCACCATATTTTTTAGAAGGCTTGTCTGAGGAGGAATCATGATCTTTATTTAAGCGAATGGCATTCGAACAAATGGAAGAGTATCGCCATACATCTAAAGTAGAAATTGGGAAGGAAATTGTAGAGAAATGTAAGGGAGTTCCTCTTGCCATAAGGGCTATAGGAAGCCTACTATACTCTAAAGATACAATTGATGAATGGTTGTTTTTCAAAAATAACGATTTGTTGAAAATAGCTGAATCTGAAAACATTATTCTGCCAGTACTAAAGTTAGGTTATGATCACCTTCCTTCGAGTTTGAAGAGATGCTTTGCATTTTGTTCCCTATATTGGAAAGATGATGAAATTTATAAGAATGAATTAATTCAAATGTGGATTGCACATGGATTCATCCGGTCAGTGTATGAAGACCAACAATTGGAGGATGCAAGTGATTTGTATTTTATGGATTTATTGAAGAGGTCATTTTTTCATGATGTCAAAACAGATGAAGTGGGTGAAATAATTAGATGCAAAATGCATGATCTTCTTCACGACGTTGCACAATCGGTGGCAAGGCATGAGATCTCCACTTTGAACAATGCAGAAAGTAATTCAAATGCAGAAAGTGTTACCAAAAGAACTCGGCATGTGTCATTTCGTTACCGTGTAGATTCATCATTGGAAACTCCAATCCGCTTGAGAGCTAACAACTTACTAACACTTATTTTGAAGAATCAAGATCGAAGAGAAACATCTTTTGAAAATATTGTTTCAACTTTTAAAAGTTTACATGTGTTAGATTTGAGCCACTTGGGGATAAAGACTGTGCCAAACAACATAGGCGAGCTGATACATTTAAGGTATATTGATCTTAGTGATACTCTTGTCGAGACTCTCCCAAATTCTGTAACCAAGTTGCAAAATTTGTGTACTCTAAAACTCAATAGCTGTCATGGTCTTGAAGAATTGCCAAGAGAGATTAAAAAATTGGCTTGTCTTAGGCATCTTGAGCTTGATCAGTGTTATGCCTTGACTGGTATGCCGGGGGGATTGGGGCAGTTGATGTTTCTCTTCACATTAACGAGGTTTGTAGCGGACTCATGTAGCCGGTTGAGTGAATTGCAAAACCTAAACAATTTACATGGAAAGTTACGTATTGTACTTGGACGTAGGGACTCATGTAATCAGTGTTTAGAAGATGCAACAGCGGAGGGAATGAAGGGATCAAATTTCTTGGAGGCGAAACAATACCTTAAGACGCTGGCATTATGTTTCTCTAAGAATGATCATGATGATGATGAGTTATTGTTGGAATCCTTACGTCCACACCCAAATCTGAAGGAGCTGATAATATATTTCTATAGGGGAGTAAGTTTCCCAAGTTGGTTGATGGCTGGCTTATGCCTCCCGAATCTAGTCAGAATTGATATGGAGAGCTGTGACAGATGCATTCATCTTCCACTATTTGAGCATCTTCCTTCTCTCCAATTTCTTAGGATTCGTTGGATGCGATCCCTGGAGTACTTAGACAGCAGTAGTGGCAGTGGCAGTGGTGGTGAGGAGTCCCTCTCTTCGTCTTTACCCTCTTCTTCATCTTCATCCAGTGGAGGAGGAGGAGGAGCAGCAACGGCAGCAAGAAGAAGATCAGAACCAACGCCAACATTCTTCCCATTCCTGAAAGAACTCTCACTCTTGCAGTTGCATAATCTGAAGGGATTGTGGAGAAGCGAAGCAGTAGAGGAAGAAGCAACAACAGGTACCATTGCAAGCTTACCAGACCAACAACCGCCACCTCAACATTTGAAGAAGACAATGCCTTATTGTCTCCCATCATTTCCTTATCCTTCCAAATTAACCGTCAGAGATTGCCCTAATCTGAAATCGATGCCTATTCTGCCACCATATCTTGAAGAACTACATCTCCGTTATGTCAGCGAGGAGCTAGTAAAACGGCTGTTCATGATGACTGAGTCCCCAACCCCAACAATCTCCACCACGACAGATACAGTCTCAACCATGTCATCGTCCTCTTCATCTTCTTTGCTTCTTCATCTTTTCAATTTGAAGTCTCTATCTTTAGATTCATTTGTATCTCTTCCTGCGGGACTTCAACATCTTACCAATCTTCAAACTCTAAAGATTGAGTGGTGTGACAACTTGATGGCTTTACCGGAATGGACAGGCAACCTCGCATCACTTGAACGACTTGAATTTCACCACTGCCCCAAATTGACAACACTGCCCGATGGGATGCGTCAGCTCACTGCATTACAACAACTCACAATTACATCACCCAGCAATGTGCTATATGATAGATGCCAGAAAGAAACCGAGGAAGATTGGCCAAAGATTGCTCACATCCCAAAAGTTGATATTGAATTGTGGCAGTGAGAGACGAGGTATATCGACCCTTTATGATCTGAATTTGTTGAACACCATAAAACTCTATCTTATTATTCCCTCTTATTGTTCATTCTCTCTCTTTGTCTTAAGTTCAACTGATTTTATTTCTTTCTTATGGGACAGTCACACAAGACTGGGTGGATGAATCATTGCTAGAAACAGACAAGATTGCACATTTTATTCTACGAATTGCAACTACAAGTTAGTAATTATCCTCTCTTGTATTTCTTTCTTTCTTTCTTGAAGGATATGATACTACTGAAATTGTCCTCTACAAATCTTATTTTTCCTTTTTTACCTTCTCAGGAAATCTCGATTCTTCTTTTTGTGTTTGTGTTCTGGGGTAGCTTGATCAGCACATCGTTGGCTTAGTTTACAGTCGTCCTCTCTTTGTACTTCATATTCATATTGTTTAATCTCAGAGGTGAGACATCTTGCTAGATTAAATTATTTTATCACTTTTATAAACCAGCTTGTGAATTTTTTTTGCATTTTTCCTACCATGTAACATTGTAATTTATGACAAAATTTTCAATCCAACACAATGAAATAATGAACTATCATTCTCTTAATTCTTGGAAAAAAAAGTGTGCAAAATTTTGTAAGAGAAAGAAAAGGATTAGGATAATTTACTCGAGGCAGAAACACAATCACTTTCATTAAAATAATGTTTGCTCTAGTTTTCATGGTTATGAGAAATTTGCCGATAAGATATAATGAAACTTTATGCACTAACAAAAGCAGAATATGATATTGATTAGAAGAATTTCAAGATTATATTCTTGCCCTTTTACAAGCAATCAAAGTCTTTTTGCTTGATTGACCATAATAATAGTACTACTTGACATCAACCATGATGCAACAACCAAATGCAGGTCTTCTTTATTTCCTACTTAATTTCTTCCACTCCTAACTTACTAGATTTAGCTTCCAACATATATTTATAAAATGTCCATGATCTTGTAGCTACATTGAGCAATCCAAAGCTCAATGATCATCCAACTTTAATCACAATTCACATGAATCTTTAACGCAGGATTTTTTTTCCCTTGCTTGCTGAAAAATTTTAACTTGTTTTGTTTAAATTAAGGCCCTTCTTTCATATTATCAAGAAGTTTCTGAAAATTTACAGGAAGAAACAGAGGTGGAAGCAGCGAATTGGGCGATTATAAAATCCAGCAAGCATGAGCATCCGCAAAGTAATTGGCTAAGGCTACACAAGATTTTGTGTAATGGAGGTGAGTCGGGGGAAAGAATCTTATGCAGTTATTGTCTCTACTGGTACTCGCGATCAAGGCAAATGATTAAGGTTTTAAGACCTGATTCAGTTCATTATATATAAATACATATTATCTTCCATTTTCTGTTGCATTATGTTAAAACTTAAATCTCTTTCTTCCCATGTTGCAGGAAGAAAGCATTGGGATACTCGGTGCAGAATGCATATTCTATTCAGAGGGGTAATATAAGATGTGGACGTGTGTAACAGTGGAGACAAGCTATTACCAGGGCAATAGCAAACAAGTATAAGATTAGCAGATTACAGGTAAGACACTTTACCAATGAACAGATTGTTTTGAATTATTTGGGTTGTCTAGTGCATGAGCCCTTCCCCTTATGGGGATGAAATGATTGAAAAACGTGGTTCCCTCTTTGTGTGCTTATGGGAGTGATTTCCCTTGTTCTCAAGTTAAATTTTTATTACTCTCAGTGGTTTTGACAATATAAGATTGTTTGACCTTTCAATATATATATATATAAGTTTGTTTAGTGAGGAAGGTAATATGTTCTTTCAGCCCATCAGACAAAGGCTAGAGAAATGCATCCAAACCCAAGTATGGTGAGTCAAGAATGGGAATGGTGTTTTGTGGAGCTCGAATAAAAGAAACAAGCAACTTTTCCTGGTTTCTTTTATTCACATGGTGCACTCAAACTCTTGATTTTGCTATCCACGAACTACCTTCATTTTTCGCTTTCGTTTGACAATTTAAATGCACTTTCACAGGGCTCCAAGTTAGGTCATCAGCATTCGCATTCATGTTCCCTTGTTTTGTGCTATTGCAATCTATGGACAGGTTTTAGAATAAGTTTTTTAATGATGAAAAACTTAATGAATGATGCCCTATTTCACTTGATAGGCCAACACCATGTTGAGGAAAAGATTACAGCGATTGGCCTCCCATGAGATTGCAGTTGTGAACATGGATGTTTCAAGTATGAGACTTGAGAAACATGAGGCCCGATTTCCCAAGATCAAACGGTGTCCGGCTAAGGTTGTCTCAACAACTCTTTCAATCCTTTGTTCAAATGAGTGCCAATTCCATCAAAATTGGTGCAAGAAAAGAAAATTTCTTAGAACTCTGTCACAATCAATGCATGGGAAAAAGCTGTCTTTCCTCTTTACTGCAATGTATATGATGCATAAGTGAGTGCTAAGATACACAGAATGATATTGTTGATTTCCTATAATTATGGCTAGTAATCATATATATCTCTTATAGATGAAGTGTAATAGTTGCAAGGTCAATCTAGGTTACTGATGGATGGAAGTATGCCATTGGTGGTAGTGGTAAGGCGACCATCTATAGCGACGGGGACTACTTTGTGGCTCTGAAGAATCCTAATGCCAAACAGGTAAATATGTGTGTTTATACATATATATGTGAGTGAGATGTTCTCGTGACATCTTAATTAAGAGCAGAGCAGTATGAAATAATATAATCTCTGATAAGTACACTAAATTTTTTTTTTACAATTCTTGTTTCTTTTGGTACATAATATTTTTATTGGAGAGTTGTAATGTGTTTTTAATTAATATGATATGGGTGATATATATATATATATATATATAACTGCATATATTTCTGAAACGCTGTGATCTCTTAGCTACATTGAACAACCCAAAACTAGTTGATCATCCAACTTTCTATCACAATTCACATGGATCTTCAGCGCGTGATTTTATTTCCCTTGCCTGCTAGAAATTATTGACTTGTTCTGTTCGGATTAAGACCCTTATTTCATATTAATTAGCATGAAGCTTCTGCGAATTTACAGGAACACACAGAGGTGGAAGCAACCAATTGGACGATTACAAAACCAGCAAGCATGAGCTGATGAGCAGCCGCAAAGTAATTGGCCAAGGCTGTAGCGACGACCATTAGTAGACTAAACAAGATTCTTTTCGTGCTTATGTGAGTGACTTTCCTAGTTCTCATGCTAGATTTTTAATTCTCTCGGTGATTTTGACAATATAAATTTGTTTCGTGGGGGAGGCAATATGTTCTTCAGCCCATCAGACAAAGGCTTGAGAAATGCATTCGAACTTGAGTATGGTGAGTCAAGAACCGGAATGCTGTTTTGTGGCTCCAATCTTCACGTATGCTCTCAGCAACTTTTCCTTGTATCTTTTATTCACATGGTGCACTAAAACTTTTGCTGACGGTAACAATAATCCTTGAATTCCCGTCATTTTTTCACTGTCATTAGACAATTTTAGTGCTCTTTCACACGGTGTTCCATTAGTTAGGCAGTCAGCATTCGCATTCATGTTCCCTTGTTGTGTGCTAATGCAGACTGTGGACATTTTTTAAGAATAAGTTAGTTAATGATGAAACTCACTTGATGAATGATGCCCTATGTCCTCTTGAATACCCTGCATGACTTGATAGGTGAACACTACGTTATTAAGCAATGTCCATGATAGTTTTGGTCATCGATTTGTTCTCTATTGGCACTCACGATTAAGGCAAAGAATCTTCTATTATCAACGATAGTTTTGGTCGCTATACATTTTATCTTACATTTTTCTTCCTGCATTATATTAAGACTTTGATTTCTTTCGTCCCATGTTGCAGGAAGGAAGCATTGGCCTTCTCTGTGGAGCGGGAATATTCAATCCAGAGCTGTGAGCATAAGTTTAGTGGTGGAACGTATCAGATTAATTACTTAATTGTAAGACACTTTACCAATGAGTAGATTGTTTCGAATGTTGCTTTAATCTTCCCTTTGTGCGGGAAATGATTGAAGAACTTCGTGTCATCTTTATGTGCTTATGTGAGTGTTTTTCCTAGTTCTCAAGCTAGACTTCTAATATTCTGACTGGTTTGACGTTATAAGTTTGCTTGGCGGGGGAGGTAATTTGTTCTTTCCGCCAAACTGGCAGAGACTAGAGAAGTTTTGTGGCTCGAATCTTCGTAGGTATATGCTCAGCAACTTAAACTCTAGATTTTGCTAAGGGTAACAATAATCCTTAAATTGCATTCATTTTTCAACTGTCGTTTGACAATTTTAGTGCTCGTTCACATGGTGATCCATTAGTTAGGTCCTCAGCATCCGCATTCATTTTCCCTTGTTTTGTGCTGATGCAATCCATGGACAGTTTTTATAATGTGAATGCATCAACAGATTTTAACTTGTTTATTTCACCATCTGTCGCAGGAGATCATTCATACCACAACCAGATGAAACACTGGCATGTGTTGCTATGTGATAGAGAAGCGCATATTTAAGCTTACACTCCGAAATTATTGGAGAGAGGCAAATCAACCACGCTGCGTCTTCAAAATAATGAAACACCAGTATGATAGACAATCTGTAAATACTGTATTTGGTGTAAATATTTCTCACTATTGTTCACTGACGAACAAAATTCTGAGATAGAAAACAAATGAAGTGGAACAATTTTTTTTTTTTTTTTTTTTAACAGTTCTGTAATAGTCTTTTGAACTATGTCATGTTGTTATTGTAGGAATCACTCTGTATTTGATTACATGGACAATGACTTGGAAGAAGTTAAAATCAATGGTGCTTTGCATTTTATTAAGACCTTTCTTATTCTGCTAATGGATAGCATGTTTTTGATAGTTCATTTTCCTTTTCATAATGCTATGTTATGTTTGGCGGCACCAAATCGGTATCTTAAATTTGGAATTGAAGGAAGTTTAGTACAAATTTTGAACCAAACTTCTTTCAATCCCAAATTCAAAGCGCACATTTGGTTGTACTAAACTTCTTCAAATTCTAAATTCAAGGCACCGATTCGGTACTCCCAAAAATAACATTAATTCAATTCACTTTGCTCGATGCATGGTTCATTACGTTTATGATTATTCGATCTTCGGTACAATTAATCCTGGAAAACAATATGATTTTAAGCATTTTCCATCTTTAGGCGAACTAAATCTTGTTTCTTCAAATTACCCTCTAAAATAATTATTAAAAAGAGAAGGAGTATATCTTAGAAGTCCTGCAAATGTGTTTGTACAACTTCAAATTATTTTTTATTTTTTATTTGTCCCCTGCAAAAATCAAGCAAATTGTATATATGTGTAAAGTATTTAGAGAGTGCTTGGGCTAGATAATCCCATTGCCAAGTAGGAAAACAAAAGCAAAAGATCAAAGCCCTTATGGGCCAATACAACTAATGGCATAGTGGTCTCGAACATTGATAAAAAGAGCATAGCCCGTGTGTTTGGGTCCAGTAGCAATAAACAAGTAGAAATAAAAATGCTTTTGTTATAAAAAAAAAAAACAAACAAATTCCTTCAATTCTTTTGTTATAAATTAATTTTAGAGATAAATAAAATGTTTTGTGAAAATATTACATTCTATTTATTTATTTCGCAATGGTTAGTGTGGTTAGGGAGTTAGATGTTAAAGGGGAGGGAAAATGATGCTAGGGAGGGAAAATGATGCTAGTGAGTTTCGAACACAGGCTAAAGGTCACAAACAATACACGCCCTCCCGCTGAGTTACCATCCCACTGACAAATTCTATTTATTATACCAATTAGAATTTACAAATACTTGAGATAGAATCAGTAGTTGTAAATTAAGTGACCCGAAACTTCTATCTTTTTTGTTAGGTAAAATTTTGATACGTACAAATGTCTATAGAGTTAAACATCTTACTTTTCGATGTTATACAAGTCAGGCTAATGATCTAGTCATAATTGACCAATATTCGAAAACCAATTTTGTGATTTAGATTCAAAATTGGGAGTTATTCAAATTTAACCTTCCTGAAAAGGGAAAAAAATTAAATTACTCAAAATTAACTCCACTAATGGTACATAAATTCACCTTATTACGCTCTTTCTTTTCATTAGAGAGGATACAAAGCAAACCACCTATCAATCATGGTGTAACATTCCTTGGGCTTGTACTCTGGCGCAACATGACCGGCTCCCTGCACAAGCAATGAACCAAGGCCATATATAAATATTTATTGGTGGATAATTGAATCCAATTAAGTAATAAAAAAAAATTAAAAAAAAATAGCATTTCTTGCCTTCACAGTTGCGTATGTCAAAGCATAGTTTGTTCTTGCAAGCTTCTTAACGTATCTGCATCAAACAAACATATATAATTGCATATATAATGTTATCAGATGAGGGATCGAGTCTGTATTAAATTATGGATAATGATTTTTTTTTTTTTTTTTTTTTTTTTATGGATAATGATTCTCATTACACTAATCTTTCTTGAAGTTTAGACAAATTAAATATGGATAAACCATTTAACATTTATTACTTTGACGTTTCAAAATTTTGGCCAGCAGGCGTTATCAAATTTTATATAATAACAAAAATTTTGTCCTTCATTTATATGAAAATCTTGTTCTTCCTTTGTATAAAAAATAAGGCATTATTGATTTTTCACATTCGCAGTTACCACATTCTATAAAATGACAATTTTGTTCTTTCCTTATATGAAAGTCTTGCTTTTTACTTCTATAAAAATCAGGACATCACTGACTTTTCATGCTCTAAATTACTATCTGGCAGTCCGCGAATGGATTTAGGAGAAGTCAAAATAATAAACGTTAAACGGTGCACATGTGTGTAATTTGTCCAAACTTCAGGAAATGTCAAATATAATTTACCCCTTCTTTTAGTGTCAGTTTGATAGAACAAAAGTGAAAGGAAAAGAATGGTTACGGAAGGAAATAAAAAAATGTGTTTGGTAAAAAATGTTAGATGAAAATGAAAATGAAGAATTTGGAGGGATTGAATGAGGCATGAATGGTACCTTTTGTTATCATCTCTCGAAATGGGAAAAAAAAAATTAATATTTTTAATGAAACTTTGTTAATACCAAATTTACCCTTATTTTTATAAAAAGAAAACTCTATGAAAAAGGGTATGATTGTAAATTCATTATAATAGTTAATAGTTTTTATTATTTTGTTTCCCCAAATAAACATGAAACATGATTTCTATCCTTTCTTTTCTTTTTCTTTATAAATAAACCAAACATGACAAGCAATTAATACTATTCACTACTTTTCTTTATTTTATTTTCCTTCTTACCTAATGTTACTATTTCTTTTCTTTTTCATTATACCAATCATAACCTTAGGTCTGAATAACATTGTCGGTACTAACCACTAAGATCTAAATAACATTGTCGCTATTAACCACTAATGAGTTAGTGCAGGGAACCCAAGACTCCTCCATAACAAAGTCCCACAATACTCCTAATTTAGTGTGTCTAACGGACATGGAGTCTTCTGACCCTTCATTTCTTTCAAACTTTTGGACTTTAAAATCATTATGCAAGAGTAAACAGAATTGAAGAAATGTACATTCCGCTGAACTCACCCTGCAACCTGGCCATCCACAAACCATGGTCGCCATACAGTATCGAGGGTTAAATTGAGAGAACCTATCCATTCTTGTGTACCGATATGTGGAACTGACATATCATGATCGCCGCTGTAGAAATTGAACAGCTTCATTAAATTAGTGACAAAGGTTTAAACACTTGTAAACTACGAGCACATAACTATGATATTGGCTCATCCTAGTAGATCCATCATGCAGACTCAAGCCAGATCTAAGAATATTCATTAGCTAAACAATGTTCAAGAAATTATTGCCGATGGGGGAGATCAAGTTTCATGCAAACTGCAAATTTACGTTCATCATGCATACAGTCGGACAACTCTAACCGATTTTACGTGTGTGGGCGTTGATGGCGATCATGAAATCAGTAAAATTAGTCCGACTGTCAGACTACGTTTCATTTTTCTCTTATTGGTATGGTATAATTTTGTCAACAAAAGTTTTATGTTAAACAACAGACTCCCCGAAAGAACATAAAAATAAATAAATACAGTAATAATAATAATTAAAAAAAAAAAGATTTTACCTGTATATCAAAGCTCTGAGTCCTGTTCTTGTTAGATTTCGATGGTAAGCTACACTACTAGTTACATCCTCTATATAAGCCAAAGTAGCATTGCACCTCTGCCAAACTTCTTTTGTCCCCTGCAGATCAGCATTGTAAAAATTCCTCATTCTGAAACGAATACGTATTCGGATTTTGTTTTTCATCAAGTATACATACATGCATACGTATATATATACCTCTCGAACATGAAGTGCTTTTCGAACACCTATATCACAACCGGCACGTATCCTGCAGGAGTAGAGTACATATTGTAGGTTATGTAATTCCATACAACCGAACATAGCATGAGTGAAGTGTATGAGTTAAAAACGGATTAATATTTACGCGACAATAGTATGGAACATCATTAGGTTGCGAAATGAGAGAAATTTTGGAGTGCTCTTTGACAGATCTTCGACGCCGACTTAATTCACGAGGTCTTGCTGTTGCTGTCATACCACAATAGGGCTCCAGAACCTGTGCTAAATTTATTTCGAGGATCAACTGCAAATTGAATAGTGTTCTCTTATTATCAATCCCTCCAAAACTTATATATAATGACCACAATATATATAAGTCTCTCTAACCTCATCGATTGCTTCCATGTCTGTTTCACATTGCCCACTAAGAATAACATTAATATAATCTCCATTGCAACTTGTTTTTGCTGACTACAAATTTATAAAAGATTGAAGATATTTCAGAATGATATCGTATAAGAAAATGATCAAGGTGACTTAGTCATATCAACATGTTCTGCTTAAATTTTGTTTGACCTTTTTTTAAAAAAAAAAAAAAAAAAAATGGCGTTCTAGTTAAAAAATGCTACAAAACGTGATGAAGAAAATTTTCCAATTAACAACAGAACTACTAACAGTGATTTATCCTAATAGAATGAACCATTGTAGTGCAAATAAAAGTGCAAATAAAAAGATGTACCTAAAATCCATCACTTTGGAAAAATGTTTAACATTTGAATTAATGCAAAAATTAAACCATTTACTCGAGTTCATGGTGAATCGTGAAATCACCTGATAGAGGTCGTCCGGAATGAGTGTTAACCGGTGAGCAAATGGGATTCTAGAATTGTCATCGAGATATGCATCGGTCACTGGGTTTCCAAGAATGTACCCCTGGTAACAATTTGAATAATAATGTAGTATTTAAAAGCAGCGGCAGAAAAATTCTATTTGATTCAACTTTTATAAAAATGTATAAAAGACAATTTAAGATGGAAAAAACTAACAACTAATAGAAGTAATTCCAAATTGTAAATTAGATCATTTACTTGGAGATTCATGAATGGCTCCGATCCAGCTGCATTACCTGCAACTCCAAAATAAAGAAACCACTATAACTATTACTTCTTTCCATAAACATAAAAATGCAGTGAGATATATATATATATATATATCAAGAAGACGATTAAATACCGTTTATAATGTCTTGGACGATCATGGGAAGAGGTATGCCCGAATAGGAATCACCACCGATGTAGAGATTATGTAACAAAAATTGAGGATGATCTTTCAACCACTGCACAACGTCAAGAAAAATGATCATGTTATATAAAGAATTTGCAAATACCTCCTCGTGTTAAAAAATAAAAAATAAAAAAATAAAAATTACATTTTTTAAATTGAACAAATAATACTCTTTCTGTTACCATAAAAAGTGTCACTTTTAGGGAACTGTGACTCTCACAAATTGAACGGAGTTAGTATTTTGTCAATTTAAAAATTGAAATACCTAAAATACCCTTAAGAAAAATAAAAACTGATTTTAGGTGAGAAAAAGGAGAAAGAGATTTTAAGGATATTTTGAAATTTAATATATATATATATATATATAGGTCAAAATTAACGGTCAACGCATATTAGGGAATAATTTGCACATGCTAAGATTTATTTACACATTTTTTTTTATATATAGGAGGAGTTTTGTTTTACAATTTACCCTTTATTTAATAATGCAAGGTTATGAAATTGTATCACCATTTAATGTTATAATAATGTGATTTATACACACACCTTCCTGAGAAATTCATAGGTTTGTGCTGATGATTGGTAGTCATCCATGTAGTAACCTTCTTGGCTTGTTGAGTAAGAGAATCCAGAGCCAACAGGTGCATCTAGATATATTATGTTGAGGCCCTGAAAAATTATCACTACATTTCAATTTTACCTATAAATTAATTAACAAAAATAATAATAAATTGAACCTTTTAAGCTTATAACCACATCATTTGCATACCTTCGTCCACGAATATTCATTTAAAGTGAGTGCTGGTAAGCCCCCTTTGTAATTTACGATGTCGAATATTAGAGGACCTGTGAAAATGGGAAAAAATCAATGGCATCAATCAATTAAATCGTGTGTGTGAATAGCGATATATATTAAGATATACACTGGACCCATAAAATTTTGTGAGGGGGAAGGACTTTAGTTTGTGGGGGCAAACTTATACAGTAAGTCCATTTTTATAATCTCAATTGAATTGTTTCATAAATTTTAAAAAATATAAAGTATAAAATGCAATAAATAAATAAATTAGTGGGGCCGAATTGTAATTTTAGTGGGAGATAAATTCTTAAAAATTTAAAGTAAACAAACAAACAAAAAAAAAAAAAAAAAAAACAAACAAATCTAGTGGGGGCAAATTGTAATTTTAGTAAGGGCATCGTCATAAATTCTAAAAAAAAATCAAGTCTAAAATAAAAATATAAAAAATTCAGTTGGATCCACCCCCATTGATCCCACGTTGGGTCCGTGCCTTATGTATATTATAACATACATACACTTTTATTTCTGAGTAATGACGATGAAGTAATGATACGAAATCTGATAATTAGACAATTTCGATTATTTTTATGTTAATAGTGAGCACCCACGTATCATTTCTTAAAATTTATGTACACAATGAAGATCAGCAAAAAGATTTCATCACGCACAAAATAAGATATTACAATTTTTAGCCTCTAACCCTTCTCACTCTCTAAACAACAATTTTGAATGTTACTTCATATCACAACACGAGTCTTAAATGCCCTCAAAGGCTTCAATACTAAGCTTCAAAAGTATCTACAACCGAAGTCCACACCCCGCAAGAAAAATGAGATTTTTAGGACGGTTAGGACCCACATCAAAATTATTGTAATACCTTATTCCCTTGCGCCAAACATGGTCCAAAATAATATACAAAATTACAAGTAGATTTTTTTTTATTTCAAGGTAATAATTGTTAGGAGTTAGATTAGTAGGTGCAAAAAGTCGAAGCCTGATACTCCTAAAATTCATCGAAAACACTAACTACTGGGCTATCAAGGCATCTGCTTACAAGTAGATTACACAAAGCAATTTTATTGAAAAATGTGAAGCCGTTTATTTAAAAATAATAATAATAATAAAGAGGAAAGAAATTGGACCGCTTTCGTAAAAGAATGCAGAGAGAGTGGAACAGCCGGGGCCACCGGTGAGCCAAAGCATAAGAGGGTCACGTTCTGGGTTCCTCTGCGACTCCACAAAGATGTAAAAAAGTTGCACATCGTCTAATTCACCTACACCCACGTATCTGCAAGCATATATATATATATATATAAAGAATCGATCATTTGAATAGAAACAAAAGTTTATAAACTGCGCGCCCTTAAATTTGTTTTTTTTTTTTTTTCTTCGAAAAAGTCTCTGTAATTCTTTCTTTATTTTCCTTGTTACTCTTTTTCCTCAATTTTTTTTAAATTATATTCTATTTTTTCTTCAATTAAATTCTACCTGTTTTTTATAAACCCAATTGTATAACCTCTCTACGATCAAAGGGGGTAGGAAAGGGAAGGGTTTGAGTCTTGAATGTGAAAAAAAAAAAAAAAAAAAAAAAAAAAAAAAAAAAGAAGGGAAACTGTAAAAATAATAATAATAATAATAAATAAATAAATAAAACCTTTGTTATGTACATAATGTGTAAATAACCTCTAGTGTTTAAAAAAAAAATTATATTTTTCAAATTGAACAAATAAGAATATTTTGTCAATTTGAATAATAAGATACCTAAAATGCCCCTAAGAAAAAGTAAAAATAAAAAACTTTAATTATTAAGGGTATTTCGAGACTTTAATAAATAAAATTGAAGGCGCATATATTTTTTATTCTTGGAAATTATATGCATATAGTAAATGGCGGTGATGTGTTTTTTTGGCACATTTTTTTATGTAGTGTGAAAAAAATAAATAAATAAAATATAATAATAACTAGCAACCACCATGCGTACACAGATGAACAAAACAATTAAGGTAAACAATAAAAAATTTACTTACCCTGTTTCGAGTTTGGAGGGTAGAGTTCCATTGAAACCAGGTAGAGATGTGAGGATTGTGTGCGAGGTAGCGATGCCTGAGAGTGCAAACAGAAGATGCGCGACAAGCAAACACATCATTGACATATTGTAACACATAATTGAGATCGATATTAATATATATATATATATATATATATTGTTAAAATATAGTTTGCATTAAAAGGCCGGAGAGAACTTATATAAATAATATGTATCAGCTGTTGGGAAACGTGCAAGTTTTTATAGATCTTGATTCATCCCATAGAGACAAGTTTTATGCAAAAATAAAAATATGATGTATCATTCAATTAATGGATTGAATACTTACATCAAAGGTCTGAGTAAACCTTTAAAACTTTCCTCTAAAGTGAATGTTCTCACTTATTGTAGATCCCTTAGCAAGATACCTTCTCCTTGGATCTCCATCTTCTTGGTAATTATTTTGCCTTTACGAATCACTCATAAGCCTCCATGAATTACCTTGGAAAAGACCATAAACCCTAATTTTCTAGAGAGAGAAAATTTATTCATTTTTCCTTCTAATAAAATCACCCCCTAAAATATACATAGACCATGTATATTTATAGGCAGCATAAAAATAAAGAAAAGGAAATAACAAATCCTTCTCCATCTCTAATTCATATGTCTCAAATCTAATATGATTCCAATATCAAGTTGGGCTATGAGTGAGAATCCATTAGGCCTATTATTTTATTAGCTACAATGAATTAATAATTGGCCCGGTCCATGGACCCAATTCAATTAATTCATAAATTAATTTCTACTCCACTAAAAGAAATTAATTGAACTCCAATTAAATAATAAATAACCTCTAAGTCAATATTGCACTTTGACCCCTCTATGCATAATTAGTTATCGGATAAATAATGCCATCAATCCGACTACTTAATTAATATATTTATTTTGGTACCTTTGATTATTTCTGGCTCCATCACAATAAAACATTTGTTCGACAAAAATAATAATTTAATAAATAAATATATAATAAATCATTTTGTCTAAAATCATATGAAGGCCTTCGAATTTACTTTGTGATCAACCATAATCAATACAAAATAAATACAAGTAGCAATGATGCAAATATTGAAAATATAACCCTCTAACTATTAATTACATAACTACCCGAAGTGTCGGTCTAAGGATCCCGAAGAATCCGCCGAACAAATCAAAGTAATTATTAATTAATAAAAGAGTCTATACTTTTCTCATGCTTAAGAGTCAAATGCCATGACGGTGATAGGGAGTAATTGCATACGACGGCTCTCACAATATATCTCAACCTAACGCGGATCCAATTCAAGTCTTAATTAATTATGAGTCCATCCATAATTACCGACTATGAACAATTTATAATTACTATTTATATATCATGCATTGATTGCCATCACATACATATATGTAAATATTTCTTGTAATTACATGGACACTATCAATTTCATAGTGAATCGAAATATAATACATTGAATTCACCAATTGTATAAAACATAAATATTTCAGAAACGTCAGGAACATATGTCAATTAATCCAAACAGGAATTTGCTATGCCAGGGCATATAAATCCCAACAGCTCCTACTTGCCCTCATAGCCAATTCAAATTGCACCTAACTTCAATGTTATCCAGATGATGATCAGAATTATTGATCAATGACACCTTTGATAATGGATCAACAAAGTTGTGTTCCAATGCAATGTTCTAGCTACAAGTACATTTTCTTGCCGGATAATATCATGTAGAACATGATACTTCCTATCAGTGTATTTTGTTCATCTATGGAACCTTGGGTCATTGGTTTGGACTACTTCTGCACTATTGTCGCAATATAGCTCAATAGGCAGGCTAGTATGCTCCACAACCTCTAAATCAGTGAGATCAAACCAATAGGCTTATATTGCCACCTTTAAGGCTGCAATATATTCCACCTGCAGGTTTGAGTCAACAGTTGAAATCTGCTTGACAATCTACCAACTGATTTCCCTTCCATTAAGTGAACATATACTAAGTCATGAACCTCATAGTATCTACTTCTGATTGAAAATCAGAACTAGCATACCTGGCTAGGACCATATCATCACATCCATAAATGAGTATGATATCATTGATTCTCCTTAGGTACTTAATGATATTTTTTACAATAGACCAGTTGTCAAGTCCAGTATTGGACTGATCTCTACTGACTATCCCTACTATGTAGCGGATGTCCTGTTTGGTATAGACCATGGCATATATGAGACTCTCATATGCCCAAACATATTGTTCCAGTCTCATTTGCTCAATCTCCTTTGATAGTCTTGAAAAACTACTTACTCGAGAGAGCCATCCATATCAATAAAGCAAGAACTCATTATTTGAGTTATGCATACCAAACCTGGTCAAAACTTTATCAATGTAGGATTATTAAGATAAGCCTATTTTCCTTTTAACCTGATCTTGCAAAAGCTTGATCCTAGGAATATAGCTTACATCTTGAAAATCCTTCATTTAAAAGTAATTGAACAACTACCTTTTAATTGATGACAAAACTTCCACGTCATTATAAATGAGTAGGATGTCATCAATATATAGAATTAAGAAAAATAATGACATTCCCTTGTACACTCATGATTTATTCACTAAGAAATCTTCTGGTATCTTTTTGTAGATTAACTTGCCTTCCATAGGAATCACCCTACTAGAAAGTTCTACAAGATCCCAGAATTTATTAGAATACATAGATTCCAACTCTGATTTCATAATAACTCACCAAAACGATCTGTATCCACATCGGTTCACGCTTCCGTGTAGCTTACTGGGTCCAACTCATGTTTAACAGGGATGTCCATAATGGTCTTACCTAAAAACATGATTCTGTCGAATTGGATGATAATCCTCCCACTACATCAATGTACCGATGCAAGAATCTGTGTAGTAGATGATGCTAACGCATCAATAGGGAATTCATATATTATTCTCAATCTCTATAATAAGTGTGTTCACATGTGGTACATCTGGTACTCATACCAAATTCTCTAACATTATGCTACTAGGTATGTGATTCATAATATGATTCTCCTATAGATAAACAGTGAGTGAAAACAATCAACTTTTATCTTTGAGATCGTAAAATAATCCATCCTAGTGACATTTAAAGTAGCTATCAAATCTAGCATGCCTATGATCTGATTCCAACTTACTTGTCCATATCAAACGCACATGTGCAAGACTACCCCATATGTGCATATGATTCAAACTAATATTTAGTCAAAAACACAGCTCAACGGTATCCTTGAGACAGACTAAGATGGAATGCAGTTCATAATGCGCATCGATGTCATTAACGCTAAACTCTTAAATGGAAGAGATAATGTGGCATTACTGATCATAGATCTAACCATGTTAAGTGGAATTCTGTTATTCCTATTTGACACCTAAATTAATTTAGCGTCATTTGCGGAAAACTAGTACACAACACCCTCATTGATCATATAGTCTTTGCACTATCCCAAGAAATACTCAAATACTCGATCAGATCGAAGTGTCTTGATAAGTTTACCTAATATGTGTTCCACATCAGTCTTAACCTTCTCAGAAAATACCAAGAGTTTAAGACTTGTGTTGCATCAGATAAATTTATCCAAAACGTAAGTAATCTTGCTTGGATATTCATAAGACCACACGTGTCAGTGTGTACCGACTCCAATTGTCCTTTATGTCTATTTCATCTGGCTGATTAAGCCCTAAGAGTTATCTATCCTTCAAAATAGGGTTCACAAGTTTGGTTTAGGCTCCCCTGCCTCACTAGGTAATTAACCTTCTTTAACCAATCTTTAAATCTCATTTTGATTGATTACAACCCAAAAATAGACACCAAAAATACAATGAGTCAGGAATAACAAATTTTCTCTTAACATTCAATCTAGAAGATGCAACATTAGTTTCTACATCCTGCAAATCTTAAGAGCTTGTGATTATAGTATATTAACCATCTTTCAATGCACCAGAAGCAATCGCATATCTATTCAATTTTATAAAACCAGTTTTACAAAATAACGATCTAGTTTTTATAAGCCAAAAGTGAAATAAGAATGAGATTGCGTTTCACTTCTGTACATAAAGATAGTTCTCTAATACTAATATCCTCATACTCTCTAATTTCAGATGTAATACTCCCACTGACTTAACTACAACCTTGGCATCAGGTCAAAAGATAAATATATATCCATATCATCAAGGCTTCTGGATTCCTGAAATTCTTACAATAAATTGCAAACATGTTTAGTGGCTCCAGAATCTATCCATCAGGAATCAATAGATACAACCACATAACATGGCTCAATGATTAAATATATATTTTCCTATGCCACGTCATTGCTTAGACAGTTTGTCCTTTAGTGTCTTAGTTAACGGCAAAAGAAACAGTTTCATTCGCCCTCAACATACACTGCCTTATTCCCTTTAACCTTTTAGATACCTATGTTTTGTGCTAGCCTAGTCCTATTATCATCCTTCTTCTTTGCTTTGCCCGTCCACTTTGGCCTAGAAGAAGATGGTATAGACTAGGTTAGATTGATAGGAACGCCCATACTCTTGATTATCCCTTCATCTGTTACCAATTCTATAAGAATATCAGCGAGTGTGAACTCAAACTGATTCCTTATTTAGTTCACTATAACATAATCGAACGAGTTTGATAACAAGACAATAATCATGTCAACTTGAAACTTACCACCCAAGTCAGCCCTATTGATCTCCAGCTAATTTTAAATAATAAACAATCATTTTCCAAAATTTGATTTCAAACTGGAGTTCATGAGGCTATCTTGATGGTATTTAAATTTGACACAGTACTTAGGCATATCCTCTATCTAATCTCACCAAAATATCTCATTGACATTTAATATGATGCTTGAAGAAAATAAAATAATACAAATGTTAGCTTTGGAGTATATTCGAGCTAAACTCTAGAATATTGCACCAAGTCATATCATTTGCCTTATCTAATTTATTAAAAGCATTAATGTCAAATTTGGTATCTCAAAGTAAAAGAGATAGGTATAGGAGTAATAAACACATTTTGTACCCTTACGTTGTGAATAA